ACATTTCAAACAGCTAAAGAGTGGGAGGAGTTACATTAGAAACAAACGACTAGAGTGGGAGGAGTTGCATTTAGAAACAAATGACTAGAGTGGGAGGAGTTACATTAGAAACAAACGACTAGAGTGGGAGGAGTTACATTTAGAAACAGACGACTAGAGTGGGAGGAGTTACATTTCAAACGCTAAAGAGTGGGAGGAGTTACATTTAGAAACAGATGACTAGAGTGGGAGGAGTTACATTTAGAAACAGACGACTAGAGTGGGAGGAGTTACATTTAGAAACAAACATCAGAAAAATGTACAAATACATTTCTAGAAATATAAATACTCCGCTGCTTGGTACTGAAGACTGTTTGTCTGTGTGTTTGTGTGTGTGTGTGCGTGTGCATGTGTATGTGTGTGTGTGTGTGATAGATAACCCACAAGGTCTTGGTCCTTCAGTGAGGTCCGTGTGGCCTGGCAGTGGGTGAGTCCAGCCTTCCTGGACTGGATCATGGACTAGAAGAAGAGCAGGAACAGAAAAGAGTTAAAGCGTCGAAGTGACGAGGAAATAAGAAGCTTTCACCTCAGAAAACATCAAACGATGTTTGCTTCTTTAAAGTCTGAACAAACAAAACACTTCCATCGTTTCTAAAAAAGTTCAATCTGGTCCTCTGGACATTCAACAAAAACAAAACAAAAAATTATTCTATCGTTTCTCAAAACCTGCACAAAACAAAATAGTAGCTTTTTAAAATTCATAAATTCTTTTTTTTGGAATTCAGTAAAATGTGTTGCCGTGTTGTATGGTCCCGACTGAAAGAGCATCCATCTTTTTCCACCAGTAGGATCTTACAAATAAGGAAGAAACAAGCAGCTTTCAGAATGCCAATCACCCGCTGTCTTTCATCCCAGAGATCTGCACTAAACTGATCTCATGTTGAGCAAGAGTACCTCATACAGCACATCTTTTTTTTTCTTTTTCATTTACTCTTTATTTATCCAGGTAGTTTCATTGAGCCACAAGAACTCATTTTCAAGAGACCTGTTTAGGGAGCAGATGGTGGGGTTAAGGGCCTTGCTCAGGGGCCCAGAGTGGCGAATGAGGGTGGAGGCAGGTGTGGGTGTTTCACCTTTTCCACCCACATTTTGATGTTGATGGTACCGGGAGTTGAACCTGCAACTTTTCGATCACAGGCCCATCTTCTAACTTCTTGTGCCACCACTGTCCCATCATGCGCCCCTGACAAACTATTAAACAGTCATTATTTTCCATAATGTAATGATAAAAATGAAACTTTCATATATTTCAGATTCATTGCACACCAACTGAAATATTTCAGGTCTTTAATTGTTTTAATACTGATGATTATGGCATACAGCTCATGAAAACCCAAAATGCTTGTCCCAAAAAATGAGCATATCATGAAAAGGTTCTCTAAACAAGCTATTAACCTAACCATCTGAATCAACGACGTAACTCTAAACACCTGCAAAAGATTCCTGAGGCTTTTAAAAACTCCCAGCCTTGTTCATTACTCAAAACCACAATCATGGGTAAGACTGCCGACCTGACTGCTGTCCAGAAGGCCATCATTGACACCCTCAAGCAAGAGGGTAAGACACAGAAAGAAGTTGCTGAACGAATAGGCTGTTCCCAGAGTGCTGTATCAAGGCACCTCAGTGGGAAGTCTATGGGAAGGGAAAAGTGTGGCAGAAAACGCTGCACAACGAGAAGAGGTGACCGGACCCTGAGGAGGATTGTGGAGAAGGGCCGATTCCAGACCTTGGGGGACCTGCGGAAGCAGTGGACTGAGTCTGGAGTAGAAACATCCAGAGCCACCGTGCACAGGCGTGTGCAGGAAATGGGCTACAGGTGCCGCATTCCCCAGGTCAAGCCACTTTTGAACCAGAAACAGCGGCAGAAGCGCCTGACCTGGACTACAGAGAAGCAGCACTGGACTGTTGTTCAATGGTCCAAAGTACTTTTTTTGGATGAAAGCAAATGTTTCATGTCATTCGGAAATCAAGGTGCCAGAGTCTGGAGGAAGACTGGGGAGAAGGAAATGCCAAAATGCCAGAAGTCCAGTGTGAAGCACCCACAGTCAGTGATGGTCTGGGGTGCCATGTCAGCTGCTGGTGTTGGTCCACTGTGTTTTATCAAGGGCAGGGTCAATGCAGCTAGCTATCAGGAGATTTTGGAGCACTTCATGCTTCCATCTGCTGAAAAGCTTTATGGAGATGAAGATTTCATTTTTCAGCACGACCTGGCACCTGCTCACAGTGCCAAAACCACTGGTAAATGGTTTACTGACCATGGTATTACTGTGCTCAATTGGCCTGCCAACTCTCCTGACCTGAACCCCATAGAGAACCTGTGGGATATTGTGAAGAGAAAGTTGAGAGAACAAGACCCAACACTCTGGATGAGCTTAAGGCCGCTATCGAAGCATCCTGGGCCTCCATAACACCTCAGCAGTGCCACAGGCTGATTGCCTCCATGCCACGCCGCATTGAAGCAGTCATTCATGCAAAAGGATTCCCGACCAAGTATTGAGTGCAGAACTGAACATGATTATTTGAAGGTTGGTGTTTTTTGTATTAAAAACACTTGTCTTTCATTGGTGGGATGAAATATGCTCATTTTTTGGGACAGGCATTTTGGGTTTTCATGAGCTGTATGCCATAATCATCAGTATTAAAACAATTAAAGAGCTGAAATATTTCAGTTGGTGTGCAATGAATCTGAAATATATGAAAGTTTCATTTTTATCATTACATTATGGAAAATAATGACCTTTATCACAATATGCTATTTTTTGAGAAGGACCTGTACATGGACTGGTTTGTGTAAAGTGCATTGTTCTGAAGCACAGGAAGTAATTTAAAAGGTTTAGAAAGCATATAAAGTACTTTGTATTTTGATTCCTTCTTCACATCATAGTGAATTTAGCTTTGCAGAAAATTTCAGATGAACTCGTCTCAAGCCAAATCAAACTTTAGAACCCAGGAGCCCAACTGTTTGGTATCATGATGCTGCTCAATGTAGAAAAATCTAATCAGGTTGAGTCAGGTCCTCTGGATGGATTGTTCTTGTTGAAACATTTTGTCTTATCCAAAATACTTCTTCAGTCTGAGGAGCTGCAATAAACCCAGTATTATAAATAGCACCTTCTCACAGTGGGTCAACCAGTTTGCTGATGACATCCAGAACTAGATGTTCACATGATCAAAGAGGACCATATGTTATGTCTACCAAGGGCACAACATGTTTTAAGGAGGACAGGTGACTCAAACATGAGGGTTCAAACATTCTATTTATTAAAACTGCTTCTTGTGGGGGAAAAAAGGTTAAGAATCCCCACTTCCTGTGTCCAAACAAAAACACAGAACCCCAAAGTACTGAACAGAAAGATGGACCTGGCGAGCCAGTCAAACAGAAGAAAAAGGTACTGCAGGGAACCAACCCTATGCATGGCCGTCTAAGCCACTGCTGGTACCGGACTAAAACTAGAAAAAGTCTAAAAAAAAACACCTATTGCAAAGAAAGAAGGGAGAACAGGACAACCAGTACCACCCGGCCAAAATCACTACAAAAAGCAGAAAAAAAGTAAAAAAAATAGTGTCAGGCTGAGGCCGGTGGCTGCCGCCTACACTGTCGAGACACATCATGGTGACAGGATGAGCAAGAGGAAAAAGAGCCAAAAAACCCTAGGGTGGCCAGAGAACAAGCAAAAAAAAAAAGAAGAGAGCAGAAGAGAGAGAGAGAGAGCTCCCTGGGGCCAGCCTATTTATAGGTGGGTGGAAAACGCCACAGCTCAAAACAATCATATACTAATTACAAAATATATACCATAATTCCCAGGCTACAGAACAGAATCAGAATGCCTTTATTGTCATTATACGCAAGTACAATGAAATTAAGAGCCACTCTTTTTTTCAGTGCAAAAACATGCCTTAAGAAACACACACTAAACACTAACACACACTAAAAATATAAAAAAAATGTAACGCAATATAGATATAATAGCACTATGAAAGTTAAAAAATACAAGTATTACACAATTATATTGCACATGATGGATATCAGTGAGGTAGTTAAGGTGACTGAGAGTATGAAATGTCAGTAGTATTGCACAATAGAAGTCCAGGGGTTTGGGAGGTTAGATGATTAAATCAGTGCATGTGTGAGTTCAGTGTGGTGATGGCTTTCAGGAAAAAACTGTTCTTGAATCTGTTTGTTCTTGTTCTGATGCACCTGTAGCGTTTCCCTGAAGGTAGCAAGTCAAACAGTTCAAAACCCGGGTGTGAACAGTCCTTGATTATGCTTTCTGCTCTGTTGAGGCAGCGTGATGTGTAAATGTCCATCAGGGAGGGGAGAGGGCAGCCAATTATCTTTTGTGCTGTTTTGACCACTCTCTGAAGCCTCTCCCTGTCAGCCAGGGTGCAGCTGCCGTACCATACTGAGATACAGTACGTCAACAGGCTCTCGATGGACGAGTGGTAGATGGTCAGCAGCAAGTTGGTGTTCAGGTTGTGCTTCTTAAGGACTCTTAGGAAGTGTAGTCTCTGCTGAGCCTTCTTGATGACCGCTGTGGTGTTCTCTTTCCAGTTTAGGTCAGCAGAGATATGGACACCAAGAAATCTGAAAGTGTGAACCCTCTCCACACATTCGCCATTGATGTAAAGGGGGGCTAGGTTGGTGCTGTGCTTCCTGAAATCAATAATTACCTCCTTGGTTTTTTTGATATTCAGAGCCAGATTTTTCTCTGAGCACCAGGTTGCTAGCTCCAGGACCTCCTGTCTGTAAAATGTCTCATCTCCCCTTGAGATTAGTCCGACCACTGTGGTGTCATCAGCGAACTTGACGATGAGGTTGTTGTTGTGGGCCGGGCTGCAGTCATGGGTGTAGAGACAGTACAGCAGCCACCTGTCACTAAGCTGCACATATTAAATTTAAGATGAATGTCATGGTCAGCGCCCCCCGCTGACCCCCCCATTGGCCCCTGTCTCACACTCACTCCCTCCTGCTATTGTTACAGCCCCTCATGCCATAGTTTCTCTTCCTCTGCTTTGTAATGCCTATCACCCATCTCCAGCTCAAGCCTACTCCTTCCAAGCCATGCCACACCTCCCTTGTTTCTCACAGCAATCAGCCCTAATTCCACTCACCTGTTCAGCTCTCATCTAGCTCACCTGCTCTGCACCATTTATAAGCCCCATTCTCACTCTCCACCAGTGCCAAATTATTACACCACTCATGGGTCTCAAATCTGGATTACCCAACCACAGACCATGAACAGCTTCATTCTGCTCTGCTGCTGCAGACAACAGCACCTGCCACGTACAGACTGAGAAGATTGGACTCCCACCTGGACAATAGGTAGGAGTCCAATCTTCTCAGTCTGTACGTGGCAGGTGCTGTTGTCTGCAGAAGCAGAGCAGGATGAAGCCGTTCATGGTCTGTGGTGGGGCAATCCAGATTTGTGGTCCAGTAGTGAAAGCAAAGATCAAACAAG